CTCGAAATTTGTAATAATGACAGTCTGCATACTTTCAAATCCCGTCTTAAGACCTATCTTTTTACCATGGCTTTTTTATGACCTGTACTGTATTATACTGTTTCTATGATGCATGTGTGCTTTTAAGTTGTTGTGATGCTAATGGGATTTGTTTATTGTTATTCATCTATTTACTCTTTTAGACTATTTTTGTTTGCTTGTAAGGTGACCTTGGGTGTTATGAAAGGCGCCGTTAAAATGTATTATTATTATTATTATTATTATTATTATAATAGCCGTCACCACTCAAATTAATGCACAACTCAGATTAACTGTATAGCATGTAAGACTCTAATACAATTAAAAAGTAATTATTTTAACATTATAATATTATTTTCAAATTAATGTTTTAATTATTATTATTTTAAATTATTGTACCCGGATTAGTAGGGTACTCTTGTAATAAAGTAGCAATGGCTGGGATAGATTTTAAATATCAATTCCACTTAAAAAGATGCATTCTAATCATGTTTACATGAAATAAGCCTTCTCCCGAGCAGGTTTAAAGGGATAGTTCACCCAAAAATGAAAATTCTGTCATTAATTACTCGCCCTCATGTCGTTTCAAACCCGTAAGACCTTCGTTCATCTTCGGAACACAAATGAAGATATTTTTGATGGAATCTGAGAGCTGTCTGACCCTGCATAGACAGCAACGCAACTGAAATGTTCCCAAGTCCAGAAACATAGCAAGGAGATCGGTAAAATAATCCATGTGACATCAGGGGTTCTACCGTAATTTCACGAAGCTACGAGAATACTTTTTGTGTGCAAAAGAAAAAAAAAAAAGACTTTATTCCGCAATTCGTCTCCTCCGCAGCACCCTGTAGCACCAGCTCTCAGATTCCATCAAAAATATCTTAATTTGTGTTCCGAAGATGAACGAAGGTCTTACGGGTTTGAAACGACATGAGGGTGAGTAATTAATGACAGAATTTTCTTTTAGAATTTTTGGGTGAACTAACCCTTTAAGTTTATGGGCCTGTTGCTATGACGGCAAGTCCAGGATGAGCTTCGAAGAACCAAATAATCCAAGATCATGCCAAATCGTCAACAATCAAATCCTAAATTAGCTACGTACGAAGAAAAGGCCCCAGGTCTGTGCAGAAGCCAAATGATAAAGATGGCTCTGAAGACAACAAGACAATCAGTCTTTGCACCTCCTTCCTTCTGATCCAAACATTAGGAAAGACTGGATGAACTTCATTTTTAATTAAGTTCCAGAAGTGTCAGTAAGAACTTTGTCCTTTATTAACTTAATTTTACTGTGGATCGTTTACAAACAAAGCACGATTCGACGAAGGATTTTCAAAAAGACTGAAAATAAAAGATGAATCTGTGCGACTATATTTGATCTGACAGTAATGTCGCAACACACAAGTGTGAGTAACTGTTTTTATTATGTGGTCACTAGTGCTTTGTCTGTTATTACAGATTGTTTGATATGTACTGAGTATTTATGCGTTTTTAACCTAAATAACAGCAACGTCCATCTGTCAAGGATTTTGCTGTCAAACATAAACAACTGGTAGCCAATCATAACAGTGGGAGTTTTCTTCCGAGTCTACAATCTGCCACACCTATACAAACAGAGCGTTTCGATGAGGGGGTCAAAACAGGACAGAAAATAGCCTTTTACTTCTAAATTATGATGTTTTTCTAGGTAAAAATCTTGATCACATTATAAGTGGACCTCAGAGAACAGTACAAAATAATTAATAAAAAAAAAAAAGGCAGTTCATGGCCCCTTTAAAGATTCTTTGGCCATTTACCTCATCATTACCCTGAATTCCCACATGTGCTGGTTCTCATAAAACAAGTTATTATTCCTATCTGTTTTATACTGTATAATGTAATCATGATTTCCGATAAAATGTAACTTCTATTTGTTTGCAATAATTGGACAAATGAATAATGCATACATTTTCTATATTTTTTTACATAAGCTTTTAAATCAATCCCATCCCTTATTTCCTTAATTTCCTGATGTAACTTTAAGTCAACTTCAGGTTGGTCTAATAACAAGGTGCTATTGGAGGTATTACAACTTTAGAAGCAAATGACTTCTATACCAGTTTCATTGGCCAATTTATTCTTTCTTTCTTTCTTTTTTTAAATAAAGAAATTGGTCAATGAAACTGGTATAGAAGTTATTTACTTATAGTTGCTATATATATATATATATATATATATATATATATACACACACATACAGGTGCATCTCAATAAATTAGAATGTCGTGGAAATGTTCATTTATTTCAGTAATTCAACTCAAATTGTGAAACTCGTGTATTAAATAAATTCAATGCACACAGACTGAAAGAAACCTGGGCTTCCATACCACCTTA